GATAGCAGTAACGTAGAATGCATATCACTATACAAATAAAAAATGAGAATTGGAAAACAGTGTTATTATCAATTTTTGTTGCATTAAATTTATTGAACAGTCTATCTTTGTTTTGCCCTCTTATATGTAAAGTGAACTACACGAAGAAATGAACCAAATGTAAATGAAGAAATGATCGCAGAAATAAATTGGTCAGTTTGTCAGACTTTAAGGGAAATTTCTAAAAACATAAATTCTAGCCTTTTTAATTAAAAATGTTTTTTTTAAAAAGGCTTGTTAACTATTAAGTTTGATTCTTGTTTTAAAAATAGTTTACAACTTCAAAAGCTTAATCCTTGTAACGCATTGAGAAATTTTTGTAATTATTTTTATATCCATGTAGGTCAATAAGTATAGTTGATGTTTTACATATTATCTCAAATTAAAAACAGAAAAGTTATTTTGTAGGCTTTGAATAAATAAAAGTTAAAAATGTTATTATGAATTTGTAAAATAAAGTTTCATAAAAATTAATCACTAGCTATTTTTTTTATTTTATTGGTTTGATAAATGTTCTATTGAAGTTTATCTTTTAGAAGATTTGACTAACAATTAGTTTTTGCTGAAATTCAAGAAAAGTAATGAGAAAATATCAAGACGTAATGAATCTTTATAGCTTTTGATATACTAGGAAATATGGGGAATTAACCAATTTCTGTGACTTTTTTTTTCGAAAAAAATAACATAATTATAGTTAATTTTACTCAATTTTTAACTGATTCTTTTTATTTTCTTAAAATTGAAGCTGGTCATATTGAATATATAAAAATTAACTAAAGTTAAAATAACTTTTCTTAAAAAAAAAGTCACTTTCTCCAGAAATATGTTATATAACATAGTAATAATAAGTTAAAATTAATTAGTTACTATAATTTGCATTAAAATCTTACTATTTTTATTTATTATTTCTCTTAATCTTCATTAGATAGCTGATCTGGAATTTCTTATTAGTGTACTTTTACTTAGAGATACGAATGGTTGAATGTGTAAACTCGTCATTCGGTGCTTAATTCTTTATTTCCTTAGAGGCATATATAAAAATAATAAAATTAATTATTACTTTTAATGGCGTAGTTTCAAGTAACCCTTATATACAAATGTTTAATTTTCTTGAATTGGAGTACTAATTCAATATGATATGTTTGACCGTGTAATGCAACTCAAGGTTCTTTCACAATTAGAGAACCATCATTCTTCACTCTGTCCTGTCCTAAGGTTTTGGTCCGTCTCGTTTCACTTTCAAACATTTCTATTTTCTTTCTTTTGCATTAACCATCTTAATTGTTTCGGTTGTAGGGGCTGAGTCGTCTAATACCTCCACGTTTTTCTTTTCTAGTCTCTCGGACGTCCGGTCTCGCTTCCTATTCTTCATTTCACTCCTCTGCGTGCGGGTGGGGGAGACCTGCCAAAGTCAGTTTGAGAGCAATGACGTTTTCAATAGAACAGTAATAAATGTGCAGTAAATGTCCTTCTCTACCATTCACCTTTGACCTGTATTTATAGTTTTTGTCATGGGTTTGGGATTATTAAAAAGTTAATCACGGTCCAACTTCGGCCCAATAGCTTTTAGCAACTACTTACCTTAATCTTAATCTTAATCTGGTCAACTGGCAGTAGGGCCAGCCGGCCTCCTGATATTTGGCCTTACAGCCGGCCGGCTCATATGAGTTGCTGTTCATCAGGATGACGAGCGGCAAAGTCGCGTGATTGGGTAATTACTGGCCATACGGACGTCCGGTCTACACACTGCCTGGCTCCTCCGGATGACGAGTGGCAAAGTCACGTAATTGGGTAATCACTGGCCATACGGACGTCTGGTCTATACGCTGCCCAGCCCCTCCGGATGACGAATAGCAAAGTCGCGTAATTGGGTAGTCATTGGCCATGCGGACGTCCAGTCTATACGCTGTCCGGTCCCTACTGGTACACTAATATTATGTAAGATATATAGGAAAAGATGAAAAAAAGAGGATGGTCCTATAATACATTTGTTACACAATGTTTACTTTTCCTTAGGTAGCTTAGCATTAACTTCTGCCATTAATGTCTGCTTCAGAAACCAACCGTTAGAGAGTATTGACGGGGTCGCCATATTAAATGTCTGCTTCACATACCAACTGTTAGAGTGTATTGACGGAGTTGTCATATTAAATGAGGATTAGATAAGGTCATATATAGAAAAAAACATTATATCTTTTTCAGGTTCATATGGAGAAAGAACCACAACATCAGCATCTGGAGTTGGGAATGAAAGAAGCCAACCAGAAGCAGCTGAACACGAATCCATCACACCAAAACCCATCATGCTTTTCTACACAAGGGTAACTTAATTTTATACCTGTTATTGGTTAACTTTGTAAATTTTTTAAAAGATAATTATATTTCTTAAATTATCTTTAATCCTATACTGATGCAAAGATTTTAGCTATAATATTTTTAGAATTGTATATTAAATAAAGTTGAAGTATTTCAGTTCATTAAAGATAAACATATTTTTCTTAGTTTATGTTCAAATTTGCTTTGTGGAACATTTGAAGTATTTATTTATTTATTCTTTTGACTTGTTTTTTTTGTTTATTTATATTTTTGTTTTAATTTGGTCTTTATGTAATTTTACAAGAAAATATATTTTTGATATTGACTTAAAGTTGACATTAACTGAGTGAAACCCAACACGAATTAGCTAATAATGTAGGATTTAGGTTGTAACTTGTAAGTGTGTAAAACTCTAAATAGGTAAAAAAATTGTAGTTAATGAAAGAGTTTAACGTGGATAGAGGAGATGATGAAAAAAAAAGTATGAACGAAGGAAATGCATCTGAAAAGATTTAGAAGTATAATGAACATATGCATATAAAAAGATTTATAGAGAAAATGTAAAAAAAAAATATTATTCATCTTTAAATTTACACTATATGTTAAATTTAAAAAAAAATTATTTGTTGTTAATAAGATATATAGATTCGTAACATATAAATTAGAGTCGACACAATATTAATCTTGTTTATTTTAATTAGCATCGGACTAATACAAATATTTTTATGTATTAAAAATAGTCAGTGTTGCTATTAGGTTTTTAATATTAGCATTGGCCAAATAGATGTTAATTCAATATTAATACTGATTTTTATTTATTAAAAAAATTAAAAAAAAAATATTTTTAAATTAATTTTTATGTTGCGTTAATCGGATTATGCAAATTGTCTTAACCTTAAGTTGACTTTATTAGGTTAAATTAAATGGACTGTAGTAATTACGTTGATTCTATTAGTTTCCACTTAATTAATCAGATATTAATTCGAATATTTATTTATTATAAAAAGTTAAAAAAAATATTTTTTCAACTTTTTTTTTTTTAAAAATAGCCATTTACATATTGTTCAGGTTTGACTTGCCTCACACTAATATTTAGATTAAAAGCTAATTTGATATTTTCTTGTATGCTTAGTTTATCAACTTTGTATCAATATGCCAGAGATGTTATATGAGTGAAAATTGAAATCTTAAGTATTGAAAAACGAAACAGAGGATCACCTTGGTGTAATTCTGTAAGGACTGCAGGACCCATATTACTTGAGTCACCTACAGGCCCAATAACCACTTCACATACAGGCCCCACTACAGGTCAGAACCAAGCAGTTACAACAGATGAGGACTGTGAGGAAAATACCAAAAGGATTCCACGCCAGCCAGGCTACCTCAAGGATTTTGTGATCACGTCTTCCCGTAAAAAGGGGAAAACCGTTAGGAAGAAATGAATGATAAAATTCCTAATATTTCTTTTATTACAAATGATTAGTTACTGCAAGGTTGTTACCAAAGTGCATATATAGCACTGTATTGTAGGGAAAGGAGGCAAGAAAGAAATAGAAAAGTGTTTCCCTCTGCATTCATTCTTTCTCTTTTTCTGATACTCTTCTATTCTGTTATCCTCTGTCACCTTCGGTTGCTTTCAATTGGTGCTTTCATTGATCCTGACTTATCGTCATGGCCGCATCTCCTCATGATGAGCTCACCAAACTTAACGTCAAACTGGAACAATTACTCCTTTCCCATGCCAATCTATCCAACACCCTCCATGACATAGCCAACCGCACAACAGTCCTCGAATCCCAGCCGCCCCCCAACCCTCCACACTTCCCATCCAGACCACTCAAATTTGACCTCCCCACCTTTAATGGCACTGATGCTCTTGGCTGGATCTTCAAAGTCAATCAATTCTTTGATTATCACCAGACCCCTACTGATCAACGCATCCAGATCTCTTCCTTCTATCTTGAAGGCCAAGCTCTTGCATGGTTCCAGTGGATGTTCAATAACGGGTTATTGTCATCTTGGGACTCATACATCCGCGCATTGGAACTGCGATTCGCCCCTTCCAAATTTGATGACCCCATTGCTTCCCTCTGTAAGCTCACACAAACCACCACCTTTCAAGATTACCTTTCGGATTTTGAAACATTGGCCAACCGCATTTCCGATTACCCACAGAGTTTTTACCAATATTTAGATTACTAATATTTAGATTAAAAGCTAATTTGATATTTTCTTGTATGCTTAGTTTATCAACTTTGTATCAATATGCCAGAGATGTTATATGAGTGAAAATTGAAATCTTAAGTATTGAAAAACGAAACAGAGGATCACCTTGGTGTAATTCACAATAACATTACATTTTAGGCGTGAAATTACTCTGATTGATAGAAGAACTTCGTAATATTTGTATTATGCAGATGTGCATCAGTATCAGATGGGGAGCGTTGACAAGAATTTCTAACTTCTAAGGAAGCAAATCGATGTTCCTGCAAGGCTGCGAGGAAGAATGAACTCTAACAAATATATATTCATTAAACATAGAATGCGATCAAAAGAATTAAGGAGCTAAAGAGTGTTTGAAATTACCCACGTTGTCGAAGAACATTTCATTTTCTAGTCAAAGTGGCAACATGGCCCTCAAATATTTGCCATCCTACACAATGTCGATGAGTGTCTTCGCTGTTTTTCTTGGTGCTCTGCTTGTTCAAGCCCAGGATCAATCAGGTTTGATGAAGCAAACACATGATCTGCATCAGTTAAATCATTTTTTGAGGTCGAAGATCTTCATTACTTAGTTAATTAGCTGATTTTGCTTGCATGTTTTTATGTTTTAGGATTTATCAGCATAGATTGCGGAGCTCCATCGGACACGGACTACACTGAGCCAAAAACAGGCATAAATTACACATCAGATGCCAATTTCATAGACACGGGTGAAAGTGGGACAATAATACCTGAAACCATCAACACTGTCTACCAACGACAGATGATGAATGTGAGAAGCTTCCCAATAGGAAAAAGGAACTGCTACAAAATAAGCATCACCAAAGGTTCCACTTATCTCATCCGCACCAATTTTTTATACGGAAATTATGATAAGCTAAATAAGGCACCAAAGTTTGATATTCATCTGGGGGTTAACCACTGGTACACAGTGACTATAGACAATGCATCCACTCCCCAAGTGAATGAGATCATATATGTACCTTCACTGGATTATCTGCATATCTGTCTGGTTAACACAGGCCATGGCACACCCTTTATATCAGCTATAGAATTGAGGACTTTGAAAAATGGTACTTACGTCCCTGATTCTGGATCATTGGAATATTACAGGCGGTGGGATTTAGGTTCAAACGACAGCTACAGGTGAAGCCATACTTTTTTTGGATAAAATCTTTTGTATTAAAACACTGTGTGATATTCAATTGGATTTATTTGATTTCCTCGCAGGTACAATGTTGATGTTTATGATCGTTTCTGGTATAACTATGGGGACAACAAGGATTGGAAACAAATAAATGCTTCCATTGCTGCTGGTTCTTTCGATCAGAATGATTACAAACCGCCAGGAATTGTCTTGAGTACCGCAGTTACACCAGTAAATGCTAGTGTCCCATTGGTAATAAGCTGGGAGCCACAAAATCCAACTGAAGAATACTATGTTTACATGCACTTCTTCGAGATTGAAGTGCTAAGGAAGAATCAGACAAGAGAATTCAATATCACCCAGAATGGAAGGCCATGGTTTCAAAATTTGTCTCCGTTTTCCCAGAGAATGAACACTATATATAGCAAATCAGGCATCAGTGGGGAAAAAATTGAATATTCGCTTGAGAAAGCCAAGAGTTCAAGCCTTCCTCCCATCATAAATGCCATTGAAATTTACAGAGTGATAAACTTCCAGCAGAAAGATACACACCAAGGAGATGGTACGTTAAGAAAAAAAAATTGATTTTTATATGACATCCTTTTAGTAATCTAAACTATTTCTTACAACTTTTTTAATTTGCATCTGAAAATATAAAAAAAAAAGTTGATGCGATTGCGAGCATCAAGTCGGTTTACGGAGTGAAAAGAGATTGGCAAGGTGATCCATGCGCCCCTGTAGCCTACTTGTGGGATGGTCTCAATTGTAGTTATCTCGGCAATAAGAACCCAAGAATCACAACTTTGTAAGTGGTGCTTCTCAAATCAATATTACAGCTTCGTATATATATAACTCTTAAAATAACGTGTGGCAATTGGTTTTAAAAAACAGGAATTTATCTTCAAGTGAACTGTCAGGAAGAATAGATCCTACGATTTCAAATCTCATCATGTTGGAGCAGTTGTGAGTTTGTGCATTTAACCAAGTTCAATCGACTACTAAATTAGAAAATATCTCAGTTTAAAGATCTTGGTTCTTTCAGTTACGTTCTCTGTTACTTAAGTAACAGATGATTATTTGTGTTTTCAGGGATTTATCCAACAATAACTTATACGGCGAAGTTCCTGATTTTCTATCTAGACTACAACATTTGAAGATGATGTAAGTTACTTCTTTCTTTATTTACTAGAACAGCAGTGTGATCACCTGATCGGAGAAAACGGAAAGGATGATATCGTTCTATTTTGGCAGAAATTTTGAGAACAACAACCTCACAGGTTCAATTCCCGAGGCACTAGTTCAAAAATCTAAGGAAGGCTTCCTATCACTAAGGTGTGGATAAATTCTCATATTCAGAATCTGGTTATTTGTGGTGATGATTATCAATTTGTACTGTTCTAGTCTTTTTCTCTTGTCCAATATACTTGTTATTTTGATTTTACTCCATTGAATCACGGGCCACAAAGACTTTTGCTTGTAGACCTTAATAACAAGTACAATTGAATTGAAATTCTTCAAAGTTAATTATTTCACATGTTAAGTATTGGTGTTTTCCATGCTATTTCCTAGACAGTGGATGTACTCATCGAACAAACAAACTGAATTGAAGTATCACTAAAAGTATAGATGGTTTGTAAGATTTAGTGAGAATTAAAACATAAACTTTTCATGATTGAACATCCATTTTAGGGTGGGCCAAAATCCATATCTATGTGAATCCGATCAATGCAAGGAGAAGAGGAAGGAAAAGAAGAATATTGTTACTCCCTTATTAGCATCCGTTTGTGGGGTTTTGATCATTCTTATGACTGTGGCAGTTGTATTGTGGACTCTTGAAAGGAGAAAACCCAAAGGTGAGACTACTACAATTAGACTCAATTTTAATTGAAAAATTGCCAAAGATATTCAGTCTTGACCTATTAAAGTTCAAAAATTGTTGAGCAGCTTCGACCATAGATCAACGTGATAGCACCGGAAAGCACAGAACAAGAGGATTCATTACATCAACTAAAAAAACAGATATATTCATACTCTGATGTAGTTAGAATCACCAACAATTTCAGTACAGTCGTTGGTAAAGGTGGGTTTGGAACAGTTTATCTGGGTTATATTGATGACATTCCCGTGGCAGTGAAAATGCTGTCTCCATCTTCAGTTCATGGTTATCGACAATTTCAAGCAGAAGTAAGTTATTTATAATTTTTCAACAGGTTTATGAGGTGAAGAATAACAGTATACGGTTAAATTTGTCTGTGGCTTTGATTTCCAGGTTAAAATTCTAATGAGGGTTCATCATACGAATCTCACCTCCCTCGTTGGATATTGTAATGACGGAGATTATAAGGGTCTCATATATGAGTACATGGCTAACGGAGACTTACAACAACATCTTTCTGGTTAGTTCCCCAATGAAACTAATTTCTTGTTAAAAATGTGTGCAGATCAATTTACACAGTAGTTTTATATTCTGAAACGCTGGATATGAAAATTAGTCAGTTAAAATGAACAAGTACTTAGAAAGTTACAGAACTTGTTTTCTGCAGGTAAACACAGCAAATCAAAATTCTTGAGCTGGGAAGACAGACTTCGTATAGCAGTGGATGCAGCACTAGGTGAGGAAGTAAACTTGAAATTATGTGTTTTGTGAACTCCCTTTTTCCCCTCTCAAAATGTTTGCAATAAATCTAATATCAGGATTGGAGTATCTTCAAACTGGTTGCAAGCCTCCTATAATCCACAGAGACATAAAATCTACAAACATCTTGTTGGATGAAAAGTTCCAAGCAAAATTATCAGATTTCGGTCTATCCAAAATTATCCCAATTGATGGAGGAACTCATGTGTCAACTGTTGTTGCTGGTACTCCCGGTTATCTAGACCCAGAGTAAGTACTTCAATTACAGTGATTGTTTATAGTATAAGTGGATATTTGAATTATGACCACAAACTCTGACAGTGGCAGCAAATAAATTAGGTTACATATTTGTCTTGCAGGTACTACATATCCAATAGATTAACACATAAAAGTGATGTTTATAGCTTTGGAGTTGTTCTTTTGGAAATCATCACTTATCAACCAGTAATAGTAATAGCACGGAATGAAGAAAGGGTTCACATCACTGAATGGGTCAGATCACTGATTGAAAAAGGGATATCAAGGCGATTGTTGACTCAAGGTTAGAAGGAGATTTTGACATTAATTCAGCTTGGAAAGCCGTAGAAATAGCAATGGCATGTGTTTCCTTTAATCCCAGTGAAAGGCCAATGCTGAGGATGATAGTGACTGAACTAAGAGATACTTTAGCAATCGAATTAGCTCGAACAAAACTCATTGATGCACATCTAACAACAGATTCTATTGAACCGCTCGCCATGAATCTGGACACTGAATTCACTCCTCTGGCGAGGTAAAATATAAAAGAAATCAAATAATGTAAAAGAGGAAGTGATCTTATTAAGAACTTGGTCGAGAGGTTCTTTCCTTTGCTCTTCTGTAACTGCTTCACCTGTTTCCATTTCCATGGATGATGATTTCTGCTTCTACCCTAAAACGTAATTGCATCCTTTTTCTTATTCTTCAATGTCTATTCAACTTGAGGATAAAAATGAACTTTTGTTGATATTTTTAATGTAAAATTTATTCTGTCTTTTGTATTTCCTAACTGTACTCTCATTGCTTACAATTTCTTAAACTTAATCACTTTTTTTAACAATTTTTTTTATAGAAAAAATCACCAATAAGAGTTTGTATGCAGCTGATGAGATGACATTTATATTAAAATCTAAGTACGAGGTAAACATAAAATAATAAAACACTATATAAGAATAAAAAATTATTAATTTATTTTTTTAAAGATTTTTAATTAAAAACCGTTCTAATTACTTATCTGATTAAATTCATGTTTTATTGGTCTAATTAGACTTAGGTTTAATTGATTTTATATTTTTCAAGTGAATTCCTCCCTTAAACTTCACTTATATAAGTCTATATATTGTGTTATAAAAGGACTCTCTAGGAGTAATGTACAGAACATAAATGAGCAATCTAAAACGAATTTTTCCCGCAAAATATAGTTTATTAATAAATTCAATCTAACAAGAGAGGATAAACATAAAATAAGATTTTAAAGTATCTAAAAAAATCTTAATTTTGGACAGAATAAAAGCTAATTATTATAATCCCATGATCTTTTCCACTTCACCGTGGTCTTTAAGACTAGGAAATTAATATTTTCCACTTGTTAATTTTGTGTATTTATAGACATCATCCATTATTATTATTATTATGAGATTGTTGTATACTTATTCCAACCAAGAGTACCTTGATACGATATCTAGTTTATCAGTAAGAGATTTCAAAATTCGATATCTTGATTTTCGGATGTCTTAGATAATTGCCTTATACACATCATAGATATTAATTAGTATTATGAGGTTGTTAATTATATAGTTCTTTAACCTATCCGTAAAGCTGATGGAAAACCGTATTTTAATAAGTCAACTATGTTACCGATTTATATATATACTAATATTATTCCATAAGAATATAAGTATAGTTAATAAATATTGAACTCAAAGAATGATTCAACTATTCACAGTTAGCACATTATCTGGATCCTATACTTTAGTTAAGAAGTGTGTCTAATTTATTATATTTAATGTAAATACTAGCACAATAATACATTTGAAAATTTTGACATTATATAAAAAAATTGAAATGCTACTTGTATAACAACTTATTCAACAAAAATTCTGGCGTTTATTTCTTTCATACTCATAATTTATTACACGTTATGAATGAAAAGATTACAAAATTATTGTATGAAATGTATTTTTATTTCTATGTAGACAGCATTCTTAAAAACTCATTAGCAATCAGTTTTTCTGTATTCATATCAGTGCACGAACATTTTTTAGATTATAGAAGACGAGTTTCATTTTTCTTATAATTTGAATTTAGGCTGAATTTAGCTTCACCAAAGAAAAGTAAGAATTTCTAAAATGCTATTGATCTGCATAAAATTTCTAAAGTCTTCCATCTTCCATATACAAAAGTTCAGAACACATACAAATGGAAATATTTCTTGATGATTTAATACACCCTCTTTTAATATAAGTAATATTTCAATTTAATATTTATTATTTTTAATTCATAAAATGTTTCTGTTATGCTCTTTGTTTCTCTAAAAGAATGTCTACAATGAAGATAACTTTATGAAGTATTTTTGGTTAGTATGTGAGATCATTGAAACGACATTTATTCTAAATAGGTAGAGACTATTTTAATTACAATTTACATTGTTTGACCAGTGAATGCTGTATTATTTTTATGATGAGTGACAAGTGATGAATATGACTGGAAACTATAAGTAAGAAGCAAGTGGATGTTCCTACCATGGAGGAAGAAGAAAGAATAATTTGACTATAATTGAATGGACAACATAAATTAAGAAATGCAATGTAGGATTAGTTTTCATAACTTCCAACCATGGTGATAGTTTGCTCTCCTTCAACTTAGAATGGCATGACAAATCTTTATTTTTACATTGTTTGTGTGGGTTCACCAAAAAATATTAAAATACAGATATAACTTCAACTATTATAAAAGATTTTTCTTCTAACTCAAAACTTTAAGACAAAATATATAAAAAAAATTACTTATAGGTTTTTTTCATATATAGCGTTAAACTTTTTCGCTACAACGTGTGACTTAGAATTAAATCTCGATTTCAAAAGCTTTCTAGCTTCATATTACATACATAAGCATTTTATTGCTAGTTTAATATTTTTTAAGAAGCATAGTGTAATGTTTTAGTTAATCTTTATTTTCATTTATATATATTGATTGACCAATGATTGCAGTATTATTTTTGTGATGCAAGTGGATGAGTGATAAGTGATGAATACGACAGAAAATACTAAGTAAGCAAGTGGATGTTCCTACTGCTGTAGCTGAAAAGGAAGAATGAATAGTTAGAATGAAATGGAAAGGAACTAGCAATTAAAGAAGTACAAAAACTGGTTAGACTTACCTCCACGTTGACATTGACCACGTCGCCCGAACACAAACATAGTTCCTTTTGTAGTGCAACTCACAACAGCAACAAAGCAAGCTCATATATATGTGCCATAGTCTACTTCAAACCCAGAAAACACAAGGTAGTGAAAGATGGGAATGTCATTGAGTTTCCTAGATACTTTTGTAGGAGTTCTGGTTCTTCTCATTCTCATTCAAGCTAAGGGCCAACCAGGTTTGTCAACAAATTAAAACATACATTTTCATTAGATCATTATTATTTTATAAAAGTTTAGCTGAAGTCTCAAGTGCCAATGCATATTTTTGCATGTTTATGTTTTAGGATTCATCAGCATAGATTGCGGAGCTCAAGCAGGTGTGAACTATACTAAGCCGTCACTAGACATAAATTACGTTTCGGATGCAGATCTCATAAATACTGGTGTGAGTGGGAAAATATCATCTGAAAAGACCAGCAGACGAAGTAGTCAACGACAACTGTGGAGGCTGAGAAGCTTCCCGGAAGGAAAAAGGAACTGCTACAAAATAAGCGTCACAAAAGCCTCTAAGTATCTCATACGCACTTCTTTTCTGTACGGAAATTATGATGGCCGAAATATGTTACCACAGTTTGATCTTCTTCTCGGACCTAACCACTGGGTTACAGTCACTATATTCAATGCATCCAAGGACAAATTGAAGGAGATCATTCATGTACCTTCAATGGATTATGTGCAAATCTGTCTGGTTGACACAGGCAATGGCACACCATTTATATCAGTCATTGAATTGAGGACCTTGAAAAATGATACATACGTCACTCAATTCGGATCATTGCAACTTTACAATTACCTGCGCTGCGATTTGGGTTCAAACACAAGCTACAGGTGAAATTATATTTAGGATTAAATATCTTGCCTTATAAGATTGATTGATTTATTCTGATTTTCTCACAGTTACCCGGATGATGTTTATGATCGTTACTGGTATAGTGGTTCTTACTGGAATGCCTGTAACTTGGGCGAAAATTGGAAACCACTAAGTGCCTCCATTCCCGATGATTCTTTAAATGAGAATGAGTACAAGCCGGGAGCAACTATCATGAGCACCGCAGTTGAACCACAAAATGATAGTGCTCCGTTGGTAATAAGCTGGGAGCCACAACATGAAACTGACCAATTCTATGTGTATATGCACTTCACGGAAATTCAAGTGTTAACCACGAATCAGACAAGACTATTCAACATCATGCTGAACGCTGAATCATGGTTTTCAAATTTTTCTCCAGTGTATCATGGAATGAATACTATATATTCGATATCAGGCACCAGTGGGAAAGAAATTAAATTTTCCCTGGAGAGGACTGAAAATTCAACCCTCCCTCCCATCATCAGTGCCATTGAAATTTACAGAGTAATAGACTTACAGAAACCAGAAACATTCCAAGGAGATGGTAAGCCACGAAACTATAGTATTTTAAATCCATTTCTTTTGTTTACTTTATTGTGATCTTAACTACCTTTTACAATTTTTTTATTATCATTTCAAACAAAGTTGATGCGATTACTACCATCAAGTCAGTTTATGCGTTGAAAAGAGATTGGCAAGGCGATCCATGCGCCCCTTCAGCCTATTTGTGGAATGGTCTCAACTGTTCTGATCACGGAAATGATTATCCAAGAATCACAACTTTGTAAGTCCTCATTATCAAATATTACATGATTATTATTTAATTGTAATTGTTCAATAACTTTTTTTTAAATTATAATTTTTCAAAACGAATGGTTAAATTACAAATTCATTTTCCATAAATCATACAAATAAAAGATTTTGATACCTTGCAATAAATATTTTTCAAAAGGTAATATAATATGAATTATTTGACCATATGGTAAATATGAAATAAATAATCTTAATGATATAAAATTATAATCGAACAATTTGATGGATAAATTTTGTAATAGATTTAATTAAGTTTTAAGTATATTTCAAATTTGGATCTTTTTAATTGAATCTCTAATAATAAGTTCTTTGTTTCATTGAATGCTCAATTTTTTTCATAAAATTTTCTATTTATTGTGTTTTTCTATTTTTACCCGTCAACATAATGATATGATTGTTACTTCTATCTTTTCCACTCAAACTCAGTCAAATCACATCTTCTTTGTCCAATCTCCTCCACCTCACCGATCAATTCATTTTTAGAGAGAAAAGGAACGAGTTTACCGATAAGTTGAAAAACACTACACGTTAACTCATCTTATTAGTGGCAAAAATCAAAAGACACGGTGATTAGATAAAATTTTAAAAATATACATATTTTAAGCATTCAATGAAAAAAAAATGTATGATAAACTTAATTAAAACTTAGTTAAGTGATGATGAAATGCTACTGTTCATATGGAAAACAGGAATTTATCTTCCAGTGGATTGTCTGGAAAGATTGACCCTTCAATTTCAAATCTCACCATGCTGGAGAAATTGTGAGTTTATCTGTTTCACCTGGTCAAATGAATCATGTGACCAGAAAAAAAAAATCATATTTTATATCTTTTTATTCTTTCATACATGTACTTG